GGGCTGTGAGTTCATCTATCTAAGCAATAATGAAGACTGTTTTCAAACCACGTTCTTGGAACGTTAAGAAGCAATTTAGTTATATATTCCTTTGCTCGCTTTTATAATTAAACAATTTTTAAAACTGACCATACACCTGATGGTAGTACAGAGCAAAGGAGTAGGGTATCAGACAACATGCGAACTCTAGTCAAGCTGCAATGAAGTGCCTCCTGCACGTAAGTGTCAGCCGACCTGCAGAGACAGGGGTGTGGCGCCAGGTACTAAAAATTAAACACTAAACACATCGCTCTGCGAAGAGTTTATTGACGAGGAAGAAGAAAGAAATGTAAAAGCTTTCACATGTTCATTGAATAACTTCCAAGATTCCAAATTAAATTAATGACTAGTGATGGCCGTGGTGGGTTTTTTTATTGCCTTCGTAGGCAGACGAGCATATGACTCATTGATGGTAAGTTTTTACCGTCGCTCATGGACGTCAGCAATGCCAGTGGTAAGGGGGTCACAGCCAAGTTGCTGCCTACCATTCTGTACTCTCCGCAAGCTTCGTCTGAACCTCAATATCTAGTAGGTACTACCTACCTACTAATTGCTCTCATAACTGAGTTGTATTTTATGATATATTTCTTCTGTTCAATCGCTTATACCAAATGCATCTTGAGTTTGCTTGTTATTATATTTTTTATGGCCTTTGTAGGCAGATGAGCACACGGTCCACCTGATGATGAGGGGTTACCGACGTTGAAAGATGTCAGCAATACCAGGGGCCCGGCCTAGTCGCTACCTAATTCAAAGATTTACAGTTATCAAAAATAAATGTTTTCAACGTTATTTAACTATCTATACTAATATTATAAAGAGGAAAGATTTGTTTGTTTGTTTGTTTCGAATAGGCTCCGAAACTACTGGACCGATTTGAAAAATTCTTTTTCCATTAGAAGCCGACATTGTCCCTGATGAACATAGGCTACTTTTTTAATTTTTTTGTGTTTTAATGTTTCCGAAGCGAAGCGAGGGCGGGTCGCTAGTAATTTATATATTCCACTATATATTCTGTTAACAATCCTTATTCAAATAAATAAATGGATAACCTATCAACATTATTCACAGTTTGAATTAATGTGGGAAATTAGATAACTGAAAACGAGCTATAAATACTTATAAACTCTACTTTGATGGTGGTGGTGGTGCGGTAGAAACAGAATTACAAGAAAATCTTGTAAAATATATGTGAACATAGCTGCATGAGTCGGTTACCCACTGAGTTTCTCGCCGGATCTTCTCAGCGGGTCGCGTTTCCGATCCGGTGGTTGATTCTGCGAAGCACTGCTCTTGCTAGGGCCAGTGTTAGCAACACTCTGGTTTGAGCCCCGTGAGCTCACCTACACGTTAGGGTGAAGCTGAAATAGCCTCTCAAGGCTATCAGCATATGTAGGAAAAAAAAGAGCCGGTTTGCCGTACCTTCCTTTGCCTACGAGAATAGAAGACCGAAATAGTTTTGTGGCATTTCACACACCGTCACCTAGCCCAAACTATTGTTCTCTGTACCATGGAAACCAGAGACTGATATTTATAATTGGTGACGATTAAATATAAAAGGATAGAAATAGAACAGCCCAGATAGAAAAAAAAAACAAAAATGCGCGTTATATGAATGTTTATCAAAGTGGAAATCGAACCCAGAAAATAGAATAATAATGTTAGGTTAAAAAACTATATTAGCAAATGTATGAAAATTGAATCTACAACAATCTTTGGGTGTTTTCATTACTGATCCCTTCCAGAACGCTGAGGTCATCCGAGAAACATTGTTGTTAATTCTCAACAAATACCTTGGGCCAATCGAACAATTCGTTTGGCATATTTATGATATAATATCTACATATACCTGCAGTCATCTGGGTTCTCAAGTACATTCAAATCTCTAGGCACTCAGAGGGCGGGGCAGGGTGTGGGCGTGGTCTCGGCTGGGCGGTCCCTTTGAGACCTCCCAGAGCAGAAACCCGAGAGGTTTTGACTTTTTGTTCTGAACTTGTATCAGTAATTTTGTTGTTAGGTATTGCTGTCATGAAATACGCATTTAAATAATATGTGGCAAAATGCATTAGTTATTTATTGAAAATCTCTACTGTCCATTTTTGCTCAGATGACACTTTGACTGAATTTTGCGTTACAATTCACGTATTATCTTACTGAACTTGGTCGTTTATCGATTAATAAATAAATAAACGAAGGTCGAAGTACTGCATTTAGTATCTCACTTCTTTTGTGCCATATTTCTTTGATGACATTACCGCGACACATACCTAGTTGTTAATTTGTACATTGTCGTTTACCGATTGAACAGTAAAAAATAACACGGTACAAGATTTTTTACTTGTGCGATGTTAATTAATTCCATTTTCAATTATTTCTTAATGTGAACATATGGTTTTAAATTATCAATGTAGAGATATAAGAATATCGAATTCATTTTGTTCAAATAGTACAATAATATAGTTTCACGAATAGAATAATATTTATTTGGTAAACAAACATCCACTGGTAAATCTGTACCGTTTCGAACAAAAGGTAGATTATCTCACAAATTTAAGGAAAAAAATGTCAATCAAGATTAGAAGCCTATACTTTATTGATCTTTAATGTTGATGAGATTCAAAATGAGTACCTAGATGATATTGATTCGTATTTATAATTAGTTTTCGTATATACTATATTATTATCTATCGTATTAGTATAGATTATCTGCCTAAGCTATTATAATTATCAGTAAATCCAAAAGAAAATTGATTTTATCTAATTGTAAAAATATGATTTTATCGTCTCATTAACAATTCATTAAAACGGAAAAGCTCTCCAAGTAGCCAATTTACTACATTGTTTAAATTTTTCGAATAAGATTATTGAAACCATTTAAAACTTTTCTAAGTAAGCACGCAACGAAATAGGATTACGCATAAAATTAAACTTTTCAATATAAAAACAAATATGCCAATTTGCAATAATGGATCGGGTCTCATTTTTATTTGTGATATTACAATTTATAATTAAATTCGTTTTGCCAGACCACACGAACACGTACCACTATCACGCCTATTTATTTGGTGGTAGGACCTCTTGTCAGTCTGCACGTGTAGGTACCACCACCCTGCCTATTTCTGCCGTGAAGTAATAATGCGTTTCGGTTTGAAGGGTGGGGCAGCCGTTGTAACTATACTGAGATCTTAGAACTTATATCTCAAGGTGGGTGGCGCATTTACGTTGTAGAAGTCTATGGGCTCCAGTAACCACTTAACACCAGATTATGTGAGCTCATCGACCTACTTAAGCAATAAAAAAATAAAAATAAAATTATGTCGTAAAGCAGACGTGCGTTCCAGTTTGATGGTGGCTAGTGTAGGTACTTATATGTACAATACAACGGAGACTTCGACATCACGTTTCAAAGTGCGTGGCGGAATTCACGTGTGGTGTTTATCCGAAGCCCATAAACCACTATGCAATAGAATAATAAAACTGGTATCACAATTTTGTTATTCGAAAATATTATCTATAATGATGGCGTTAGAGTTGCTTTTCGTTTTTTAAACTTTTCTATTAATGCGATGTTTTAATTATGAGTTAGAGAGTCAAGGGAATATCATCAAGGAAATCGCAATAAGAGGTTGAAGTGTTTTATTTGTACCAGAATTAACGGTTGTTTCGCAAGAGCAATGAAGAATAGTAGAAATAATCCAAACAACTGGTGGTAGGATCTCTTGAGAGTCCGCGCGGGTGGGTACCACTACCCTGCCTATTTCTGCCATGAAGCAGTAATGCGTTTCGGTTTGAAGGGTGGGGCAGCCGTTGTAACTATACTTGAGACCTTAGAACTTATATCACGAGGTGGGTGGCGCATTTACGTTGGATGTCTATGGGCTCCAGTAACCACTTAACACCAGGTGGGCTGTGAGCTCGTCCACCCATTAAAGCAATAAAAAAAAAAAAACAATATCTCTTACCACCTGTAAATAAAATACGTTTGCATATTCCTATTGCTTTTTCGGGACCAGTCGATGATGTGACGTCTTGTATGACTCGAAAATGTCTACATATCATTTTCGAAGTTTTTAAATTACGAATTACCGATCAATTTCGTGTCTAACGAATATGCTACTAGTTACATAAGTAGATACTTATAGTTATAAAAATAAATAATATGATGTAGCATTCGCAACTGGAATATATCTATTGAGTATCTAATACAAAATATTTATAATGTTTTTTTAAGGATTAACGGTACCGCCTTTCGTTCTATTAAAGACAAATAAAAAAAAATGCACAACCACGCGAGCTACCCAATTTAAAGACTTTTTATCAGAATAAAATACATTCATGTTTTCATAAACAGTCAGAGTTGTCCAATTTAAAAATTAATTCGATAATTTTTACACAAAGTTATTATATTATATTCACCCTAAGTTCCTACATGAAGAAAAACTGCTTCTATTTCACGTTTTCTAAATTATTACTCAGTTAATGTTAGATGAAGCGATCCCCAAGTTGAAACAATCTGAAACGTTCATCAGTTGAGTTGAGCGAGTGAGGTGTCACTTTGATGATACTATCAGCGTGTCGCAATTTATACACGTTCACATCACACACGCTTTTCGTATAATTAATGAGGCGACAAAACCTCATCTCGCGAACAGTTAAAGTCAATTCCCACTGAAATTTCATCATCGTCAATCTAACTTGGGTTTAATAAGTAATACTTGCGCTGTGGGCCGTCCCCGAGCAGCCGGGCTGGTCCAGCGAGATATTTTGCGTCTCAAGTATTCAGTTGTCCCTTACCCACGCGCGGATCCTCTATTCTCTGAGGAAAACCTCGAATCCGACCTTTTGTTAGAGTAACACAAGTCCTAAACTCCAATAGCTGTTTCATTAGAACAAATAAAAAAAAAAAAATAATTTTATTCGTAGTGAATCGTAAGTTAAATACGTCATTTTTTTGCTAAAAAATGTGTCTTAAAAATAATATAAGTGGCGCCACCTGTGCTCTTGTTGTCGTCCTGCTCTTGAGGCGAGGGCGTGTCCCAAGGGCGCCTCCCACAGTCCGCGGGGACGGACGGGGGCGCTTCGAAGCCCGGGCACTCGGCGGCGCGCTCCCGCGACGCTTGTTAGTGTTCCGCAAATTCACAGCGGGATCGCCCGCACAACCGGGACGCAATCCCCTAACGCACGTACGATAACACAGAGCCGTCTACTGGCCCTTTACCCACCCAAAAGATATTTCAATTTTTTCACATCTCAGAAACTTAAGTGTCTAGATTTAAAAGTGCTCTAAAAATTCTTTTGTGCCGATTTTTCTATGATGCAACAACGGTTTTATTTAATTTAAGAACGAGTGCTTTCGTTTGAATTTCGAGCGTAATTTCTATTGGAGGTCGCGATTTTTCGGTAACGTTCGCTTCTTTCCGGGGGTGTTCGTACGCTCTCGGGTGACACGGGGCGCTTGTCGTGGTCCGAGATTCGGTCGGACGAGTTAAACGCGGCGGCGGGTGGGTACACGGGCTCGCCGTGGCCGCCGCTCGAGCTCGACCCCGTGGGATGGGGTCGGAAACTATATCCATCAGGAACGCCAAGATCCTCAGGTACGTCTAAATTTTCAATTCCTTTTTTTTTTATAATTTTTAAAACCATAAAACGAGTTACGAACTTTAAAACCTCTTTAATAATTTCTCATAATTGATTTCAAACTTTTTTCCTATTTTATTAATAGAATTCCAAAAAAGTGCCTAATAAAGTAAGGAATTTCAGTGCAATAATATTTTTTATTTAATCTCGATTTAAAGTGAACTTGAAATAAGTGTCTAGAGAAAGATAATGTTAATGATGCAAGGAAGCAATTATCACAAACAAAGACACATATCTACGACGCTACGAATCGTCGACAGCCGTACTACGCTACGAATCGTCGACGGCCGGCTACGGCGTAGCATAATAAATGAGCGCCAGTTGTTGTTGCAATAAATTAAAACAACGTCTGATTATATCTCGGAAAATGTTGTAACATAAATTTAATTTTTAAAATAACTTTTTCGAATAAACTTTTCTTAGATATTTCTATAAAATATATTATGTAGATTGCTTGCTCCTTTAAAACTTTGTGGTTGTTACTGAGAGTTTCATATTTTACTATCTCTCTGTACATTTGGTTGTAATAATAAATAAAAGTTAGTAAAATAAATTTCCAACTTTACAAAAAATTATAAAAGCTACTGATATACATTTATTCTTTCAATAACATGAGTCAATATTGTGAAATGAGTAAAACGCTGTTTTATTAGACATACATACATTATCAAGTAACATTATTCGCATTAAACATTAAATTAATATGCTTTGATATTAATCTGGAGAACTATAATATAAATTCTGTCTACAATTATTCATTTACAAGTTAATATACAATAACTAAAGTTGATTATCGTTCAGAAGTTGTGACGTGCATATGTATGAATAAAAAATATTATTCATTTAATTTATTAAAAGCTACATTTCGGTTTTTCGTTAAACTTACTTCAAACATCTAAAATTAACAGACAAGAGCAGATATTAGTCGCATTTTATGTGTGTATTTAATATTTTGATTGATTTGGTACAAAATCTCTAGTAAGGTTGTTTCTTAAAATGCTTTCGGTTTCCATAAATTTTCCATACCAACAGTTTGAGTAGTGGTGCCCATTTGTAAAAATCGGTCGATAGACATCTCAACGTAAATATCGCCGTCTGCACCGTAATAGGAGACGGGAACGAAGAACTGATTTAGAATAGAAATAGACTTTATTCTTTACCCTTTTTGGTAACTTTTCGTGTTCCTACAGGCGGACTGATGTTCGGGCTCCACCACCAGGAGGCGGCTGGTGGTCTCCATGCCCAACCTCGAGGACCCGTCACCTCTCTCAAAGAAGAACCGCTTACACGAGCATGGATGACTCCGAGTTCCCTAGTTGATAATACGAAGTAAGTATTGTACTAACAATAAAATTTATTTTGGGTACCTTCTGAATATTTCATCCATTGAACTGACTTTAAACATTATATTTCAATTTGACAGATACATACAGATTTTAAAATTGGAATAAGACGCCTTTTTTATTATAGCTTATGAATGTTATAAACTTTGAAGATGATAATGGTTTTCGTTGTTGTGGTAACTATAATGGTGGCCGGTTTCAATGTCCGACCGGAGTCAGTGTTCTTGTAAAAGATAGATGGTATTCGGAGTCTGTTTGTTCTTGTCGCGTATGCGTTTCGGACATTCCTGAAACAGTAGATTTTATTTCTAATACAAACAAAAGCGATAATTGATCATCAAGTCTGTCAAAATTTACAAGTAAAAGTACTTATGACAGAGTTTATTGGGAACAATTATGGGCAGGTATCTCAATTATATCTATTGCTATTTAGTAAAGTATCTTGAGGCCTCAAAGTAACATATCAAGGTTGGTGGCATTTACTTTGTAATATCAATGGGTAACTATAAAATACCAGCATAGCCTTTTTTTAACGCTAATCCGACTACCTATCCTAAATTACATTTCAAAATATTGTACTGACAGTAAATATTTATGAATCTATTTTTTTTTATTGCATAGATGATTGGACGAGCTCACAGCCCACCTGATGTTAAGTGGTTATCGAAGCCCATAGACATCTACCATCCACCTACCTTGAGATATGAGTTCTAAGGTCTCAGTATAGCTACAACGGTTACCCAACCCTACAAACCGAAACACATTACTGCTTCACGGCAGAAATAGGCAGATTCTTTCACAACACAAAATATCACAAATGTCCAATCCCTATAAAAATATTATTTGTATACCACTTACGCACACTAATACCATTAGCGACAAAGTCTATAAACGAGCAACTGTTGATACAGTTTTGATACGCAGCCAGTGGTCGAAAAGAGCAACACACTAAGCTTATTACGGATAACTAAATTGTATTAGGCGGCGTTCGGTAAACTCAGCAAACCGATACAAATGTACGCCGGGCTCATACCGAATAACCGAACGGGATTAAGTTTTGAACCGCGCTGACTGTGTCGGATGCGGGCGTGGACCAATTTTTATTTATCGAATACTTATGTTATCGAAATGGCTCTGCTAAAAGCGCGATCATGAGAACCATGTGTAGTCCCGTAGGTTTGGTAGCGGAAAATTAGCTGGCTTAGAGATTTCGAAATATCTCTCAGCGCCGCAACTCTACATTTATTGGTAGTACAGCATGATGTGAGCCGATACTGGTAGATGTCATTATTCTAGTTAGTCTTTGTTGTGAAACAGAGTGGGAATGCCATTATCCAATATTGAGGCTTCGGCCTCATGTTTTAAGGTGGCGTTTACATTGTCTTTTGTCTATGAAGTTAGATATTTGTTCAATCATTTTTTTAAACTAATTAGTCCTAAGATATATCGTGAAATTGTTTCTGCACTGCGAGTCTGTAATTGGATCAGATGCCAATATTTCTACAGCAAATAGGCATAAAAGTGTGAAAAAGTGTGAAAAGGCGTAAAGGTGTGTGATTAATACGCTAATTTACTACCGTCTTAACTCTCAGACACAGCCCACTGAGTTTCTCGCCGGATCTTCTCAGTGGGTCGCGTTTCCGATCCAGTGGTAGATTCTGCGAAGCACGGCTCTTGCTAGGGTTCGTGTTAGCAACGTCATCAGGTTTGGCCCCGTGAGCTCACCTACAAACGTTAGGGTTACGCTGAAATAGCCCCTAAGGCTATCAGCTTAGGTACTAAAAAAAAACTACCGTTAGGGAGTTGGTGTGTATTACCGCATGAGCTATTTGTACGGCGAAACATTCGCAGTCTAACAGGGTATTTGTAGGGTTTTTTTATTTAAAACAAAGTGAGATGCGAACACATTTGTCTATTCACGGTTGTAAAAAAAAAGCAGGTGTGGTGTCGTGGGACACCGGATAGGAACGAAGTTCCTTATCATAAAAATATTAATTTTAAGTTCTATTCGAGGTATAAAGATAATAATTATTCGGGTATACATTTCTTATTATGATTTTTTTATTGATATAAAAATAATTTAAAAAACTACTTTACTAAGTTTTCAACTTTATTTTATTCACAATGATTTATAAAAAATATACAATAAAAAAATATGTAATTTTTTGTACGTTATTACAAAGTTAAGTCGTACACTGTGTGCATTACTAATTTGCACTTTATTACAAAGTTAAGTCGTACACTGTGTGCATTACTAATTTGTACGTTATTACAAAGTAAAGTCGTACACTGTGTGCATTACTAATAAAAATCTTACGTTACGGACGTTTTTTTCCGATTAGAGTACTCCTCCTCATCCTACCATAAGGAACTTCGTTCCAAAAAAAAAGTATTATCTAGGAAAGCAGCAGGAAGTACAAACGAATAAAATGTCTTTGTACATCGTAAACTATACTTCGGGATATGTTTATCTGGTCAAAGTATCTAGAATGCTCCAGGAACATTGCATTTGCCAAATTGCACAGCACTGACCGAGCATAATGACGATAACACAACGCGCTCATCCAATCAGGGACGAGCGAATTCCGCACGCCCGATAATGAACCGGTCTACAACAAGTGCGTATTCATAAGCGGAAGGGGCGTCATAAATCGTCCGACACAGGGGCTAGCGCAGCAACAATTGTGTGCATCACTGTACTTGTCGAATTAAATTTAAAATAATTGTGTTTTTTTTTTCAATGATTGTACACGTTTTGGTTTTTGAATATTTTGGGTGACGAATGTTTTGTATTATGAGATTAGACGAGTATTTATGGGAGTCCATAGACCACATAGCGAATAGAGTCGCTTATCTTTCAAGACAAGATATTTCGTAGCGGAATTGTGCACGATACCTAAAGGTGGGAGTTCGCAATATGACCCCCAATACTGTAGGAACAGTATAAATTTATGGATTTGATTTTCTTATGCACCTTTATTCTCTCGTCGTGGAAGTTATTCGTGAGTACAGTAGATACAACAGGTAAATACTATTCTATCAGGTAAAAGGTAAATACTATACCATCGCTATTCTATCGAATATATATAGTAAAGATATATATCTACCACGAAGCAGTTATACGTACAATTGGGTCTTAGACCTCATTTCTCAAAGTGGGAGGTGGCGTTCATTAATAGTCATATTTATGGACACAAGCACAAGTAGCCCCTTAACTCCAGACGAGAGCTTGATTACTTATATGCAATAATTAAAAAAGTGAAAGTAACTTCATTGGTTATACCGTGCTTAAAATAATAGTAGCAATCATTGATAAGTATTTGAATTTATGTAATTGTTACTTTAAACATCATACTGTCTTTTGTACTCAGCTCAGTCATTACAGTGAATATATGTACTTCTTAACTTTTAAATACATCTACAGAGTAACATACTAAACTAAAATGGTGTGGCTTCAGGGATAATGATCAACCTCGTCGACCATATTATTCTGAGTTTACGTTATACATCTTTCTGTCGTCACTGATGACCTGCCTATTAACATTATGTCGCTTTGACCCTTTAATCGTTTTGGAAAATATTAACAATGTCGTTATTACGATAACGTTCATGGGTAAAATTACTAATTGGTGTTCTGAATATCCTATTTCATTTTATAAATATGAAAGTACTAGCTGACCCGCAGACTTCGTAGTGGCTCAATCGATAAATAAAATACATAAACATTTGTATAAAATAAACTTAAAACAACGCATCACACATCAAACGGAAAACAAAAGTGTCATTTTTATTTAATTCCGGGCATTTTCATATTTATCTACCTTTTAAACCTTCTCTGGACTTCCACAAATAATTCAAGACCAAAATTAGCCAAATCTTCTATCTCAATAAATTAGTTATCCTTATAACAAAGACTTGAATCGTAATGATCATTTAGATTAATAGTTGATCCAACCGTTATCACGGACAAAATCCGTGTGGTCGCTACCCATATGCTTATATATTTTAATTAATCAAATTCTCTTAATAAAAAGTACTTCAAATAAATTAAAGAGCAAACAGATAAACACTTGAATCGTTCAAACATCAACTAGGGTCGAAATACACTCACAATGATTCGGTCCCACTCAGTGAATCTCAATGGCGGAGTGTGTGAGCAGGAAGGAGTGTTTGGTAAAAGTGCGGTTTGGATCTCTTAGTAAAAAGCGACAGATGTGGTACACAGCTCAGCGCTGCACTCCGTGAACACAATGCGCACTAATTCCTGATGGTAAACATCAATATGTCATAAATACACCGTACCAAATGGTGTTACGCAAATGATGTTAGGTATACAATTGTTTATTAAGTAACATAGAAGTGTTTTTTTTTTCGATCTTAATCTTATCATTTTCTTGATGTTGCTCGCTTAACTATTAAGGTGGATGCTGGTGGAAGCAAGTTTAGTAAAATCGTTTATTTTGCAAGCTATACGTGGCCAGATAGATAAGGTGCCTGAAGTATTTGTAATCTCATGCATTTAGTGATAAGCGATTACTAGAGCCTATTTTTATTACTACGTCAACTCATCAAGATGTTTACTTTAAAAAAAATCCTACCTATTTACTGGCCGCCTAAGGGTCTATTTCAGCTACCCCCGGACAGGTAGGTGAGCTCACGGGCTTAATCTGAGAGAATTTGCTAACACTAGCCTCAGCAGTGCTTCGCAGAATTTACCACCGGAATCGCGAGCTACTGAGAAGATTCGGCGAGAAACACAGTAGATTGTAGTTATGGGATTTAGTTAAACTATTACGTCGCATCAAGAGATAGATATCTAGAAGAGGTGGTTTAGACAAAATGCATATTTAAGTTAAATAGCACCCGCATGACCTATACTCGTAAAACTCAAAAAAAGTAGGGTTCCGATATTGTAAAAAAAAAAACTTAAAAACCCAAAGACTGACAAAACGAAATCGATACGTGGGTGAGAAAATCGCTGCAGCCTAATCGCAAGCGTTCCGCTGAAACTGGTTGCGATAAATAAAACAATGGAGTGTCGCTCGCGAGAGTATAAAATGGCAATCGCGAAACCAATTTGTTTACGCAAATTCTGCAACGGGGAGAGATGAATGGGCAACCATAGCGTAATACGCTCCTGGCCGGGTAATGTTCTGTAGTGCTTGCAACGATTTTATCGACATCGAGAGCTGTGTCGAAGATAATAACCTAAACACAAGAATAATTGAACAAGACTCATAAGATTAAATTATGAAATTGTTGCGAAATAGATTTAAGGTAATTATTACATTTATTTGTTAATGCGGTAACTTTATAGTTCGATTCGTTCTTTATCTTTCGAAAGCGAATTTACATAAATTAAACTTAACTGCAAATAATTTAAGCACCCAAGTAATGCACGATAAGTATCAATTTTCGTTGCAAAAGGCACGTACTTAATACGAATTACGACACAGGCAAGATTTATGTAATAAAAATTCGCAAAATATATTTTGTTGGATAGCGGTAGTCTGAGGGACTAAAAGCTGACACGGCTAGGCATCCTGACTATATCTATTCTCAATTCCGGTGTGAAGGATAGGTCAGCTAATTCACAAAACAATACAGGCCCCGACCTCAAGGTGGGTGGCGGCTCCACATTGTGGTGTCAAAGAGCATCGCCAATACAAAACAACAATAAAAAAACATGAAGTAGGCACCCATATTGGAAATATTTTTGCATCGATATATTGATTGCTAGTATTGACGACAAATATAGAAATACTGTTTTTCTAATTTTAATGTTAAAGCATTGGTGTTAAAAGAGAAATTGGCATAGCAATGGTTAAAGCAATCCAGCCGCGTGTCAATATCGACGCGTGTGGTGCTATTCGTTTATCATCACCTAATTTGCGTGAACCTTTAAATATCGGTCCCACATTCTGTTACAACTGTTGTTTTTATTATATTATCCATTAGAATTGTTAAACAAGAAAAACTTTTAGTAATATTTTTTTAAGCTGCCTCGTTTCTCAGATAATTTTACGGATGTCATTTATTTCTAACATTTCTATTTTTGTGATCATTGTCAACGTTTACAGTACGGGATATGAAACTTTTGTTAATAAGAATGAATGCAAAAGTAGTGACTTGCAAAATGTCTTTCCCCTTTTAGCAACATAACGTTGTAATGACGTTAAAGGGATTATGATCGGTTCTTTTGTTTATTCAAACTTGCGGTTTTAAATAGAAGAATCGTTTACTGTGTATTGTGTAAGTTTGTCAGAAGTCATTGGTAAATTTACGACTTCCCTTTTCATAATTTTTGTAGCTAATATTAAAAATTAGCTGTTGTCTCTGGTAACCCCTTCCTTTGTGGCGCACCTTGCTTCAGTTTTGGTGTGAAAAGTTAGGGATCGGCAACGGTTTAAATCTGCATCTTCCATTAATATCGTCGAGCGGTGAATAATCTTCGGTGCTGTGTAAAAGTCGTTTGCCTTCATCGATTGTTTGACAAACTAGAAAGCATAAAGTAACAATACTTCGTCAAGTATAGATTTCTTTACTTCTTTTGAAACTCTGCTAGAAAATACAATGCCTTCATATACTCATACCATTATCATGGGTGACTTTAACACATGCCTACTTAAAAACAATTCTCGAACCACTTTATTTCGCTCGATGATCGAATCAGTAAACTTAACTGTTCTACCGTTGAACTCGACTCATCATTTTCCAAANTATTTTCTATAATAATGTATTGTATATGGTACACCGCACCTGCTATATTTTTTATATTTTACAGAATTTCTGTAAATTAAATGGTTGTCTGGAAGAGATCGCTTTTAGCGATAAGACCGCCTATTGTACATATGTGCTTTTTGACTGTTTGTTTTTTTAAAATGTAAATTGTGTTGGTGTGCAATAAAGTGTATTCTCTCTCTCTCTCTAACAATACAGCCGAATGCTTATATTGGAATTTTTGCGGTTTTTCATTTGAGGTCTACAAATTTGTCGGAATCCCTTAACTTTGCATAGAGTACTTAACGCAAATAAAAAATAGCATATTTGCAAATAAATACATAATATACAGTTTTCAGGGAACTGATTGCAAGGTGAAATGATAATATGATTTTTTTTTAAATACACATAACAACGAAAATGGAAAATAAAGTTAGTACATTTTATTACATTACTTCTGCTACCAAATATCGAGGAATAACACCTTAAGCTGCTGCTGTAAACACGATGACTGGTGTAGGGTTGGAAAAGTCAGAAATAAGAGAAAATTTGCACTGTCAGTAAATCAGTTTGATAAGCTAGAAATGTAAGGTTGTCGAGGGCTCATTAAAAATCATACTCATACTTATGTTGAGTTAATATCAGATTACTTACTTACTTCGTCAGCTGATGTTATTCTACGTTCTGTTAATATACATATCACCACCTTGTTTACTAAGATCGAAGTCTTAATTCAAGGCTTATAACGGCTGTCCCAGCTTTCAAAATATGCTACTTATTTCCAGTTCATAAACCCACTGCTGTTCCTTATAAACGTGTTCAAATATCAGAAAGTTTTGATATCGACTATATTTTTTTATGGGCGTTAAACTTTGCATTAACATTTTTACACAGAGCTTTTTTTCTAGGTGAAGCTAATTTCTTGATAGTTTGTAACCCACTGTTTCTAATCTGGTCCCATTTATATTTTACCAACATCTGACCAGTAGATTTTTGAGTCATTCAGTCATTCATTAGTAATGCAAATTTACTTCGACCGCAATGCTGATACATGTTATTCTATTGAAGTCGCTGTTATTTTTGGAACGAAGTTCCTTATGGGACGATGCGGAGAGGTCCCTAACCGGGTAAAGACGTCCGTAACGTAAGATTTTTATTAGTAATGCACAGTGTACGACTTAACTTTGTAATAGCGTACAAAAAATAACATATTTTTTTATCATTCATTGACCACGATCTCAGAGCGTTCGTTTGCGCAATACACTAACTCTTATGCAAACAGCAGTGAATGAAGTGTACCACAATAAGTTCGCACGTCACCGAATTACCGTGAATTGTTGCGAAACCTCCAGTTTTATTTTGTTTATACCTCGAATAGAACTTTAAATTAATATTTTTATAATAAGGAACTTCATTCCTATCCAGTGTCCCACGACACCAAAGATCTTTTTTACATTAACATTTTACATGGAACTTTTTTTCTAGTTGAAACTATTTTCTTGATAGTTTGTAACTTACTGCTTTTAATCTGGTCCCATTTATATTTTACCAACATCTGACCAGTAGATTTTTGGGTCACCATTAGTAATGCAAATTTAATTCGACCACATGTTAATCTATTGAAGTCGCTGTAATTTTTTATTAAAATTTTGTGTTATTAGCTATTTATTTTCCTTAAATTCTACAGTATGTGTGTGTGTTTGTTTCGTTCGCAGTAGCGTGGGCGTTGGGCGTGCGCATTTCGAGAAGCAACCGCCTAGCAACCTGCGCAAGAGCAACTTCTTCCATTTCGTCGTAGCATTGTACGATCGCGCCGGGCAACCGGTCGAGATTGAACGGACAGCGTTCATAGGCTTCATTGAAAAGGACCAGGTATGAACATCCAAATAATAGCTAGTACTAGTAATAGCCAAATAATAGCGATCGGTACTCCGTATTTGCTGCAATTCAATGGGATTGTAGTATCGAAAAATATAAGATACCATTGTGCTCTTCGATATTTTTGTTGACTCGTGTATCTGGAATATTTTATCTGACGTACTTAGACGAACATCTGCTGTGATTAAAGTGTAACAGCTTAAAAACCTTCCAGGATAGAATGCTATAGGAACAAACTAAATTAATTACCTTGCTAAAATTCCAAATTGAACACAAAATCGTTTTATGAATTGATCATGACTTGGCGTTACGATTTAAACAGTTTAAATTGTCAAGCTAATTTTAAAGACATTAAATTCCTTTCAATACTTACGTATTATTATTTGTTATTTTATCAATTCGGGATATCAAAATTTGAATCAGAGAGAGTCATCAATCAGGATTTCTTTGACATGATGTCTATTGTATGCACTGAACCTATTTACATATTGCGCGTTGGTGGCATGTGTTAAATATATCGAGTTCCCTGTTTGTTCTTTAAATACATACTAGAAGTGATTTTCATTGGGCTATTATTTGTGTCTAATAATTGTACAAAGCACGTGTTAATTTGTGTATTTTGTGCACGTGTATTTTGACATGAAAACAATGTTAAGACCAAATATCTACATTTGACCTGCCCATTTAATTTAATGAGAAACACATGAATTATGTTGTATATTTGGCATTGGTACACTTGACAATTTTTTTCATTGGACACTAAAACGTATTTATGGTATAAATAATAAATTCGTCAATAATGGCAAATTAATTGTTAGAAATATAAAATTTAACCAATACAACAATTTTGATTGTGTGGTGTCGCTCTAGACTGGTATTATCTCATCTATTCACATGGGTGTCGTAAAGGGGGCCTGTGGATTCATAGAAGAAGAGCAGCGTTCTTTGAGTGTCATACTAGCATACTGCCGTCGCCAATCCGTATCCACCTAGACGTGTTATTGTGAGCCAGCACGTGTCAATAGTACCATTCTGCCCATTAAGGGGAGATCGCCACAAACAATACAACTGCGACATCAGTCTCGTATTTCCAGGCGCATTCACATTGTGATGTCCACGGGCTCCGGTTACCACTTTACAACAGGAGGGCCGCAAACTCATACTCATATTTTACTACATACGCACAAGTGTACTCAAAATCATTGATCCAATTCGTAATGGCATTAAGCAAACAAACACAGACCGGTGTTCAGATATTGATTGTTTATAAATATATTACTGTTTATAATCAGGTTTATTAATCAATACAATAAAAAAAATACATGTGTGCAATTCACACGTGGTAGAAGTGAAACCTTCCAAAATTAAAATACAATTATCCTAAACGTCTTAAGTATATGTAAAATTTTGTCATTAGTAAATAATTGTAAGGTAGCGCCCTCTGTGAATTGATATTTTAATTTCACGTATAATCCTAAATTAAAATTCACTACAAGAGCTTTCATACACACGTTAGTATTAAAAAATCTCACAGATGGCGCTGTATTAAATAGTATGTATATTTCTGTCTCATTCTTTGCTGGCTTCTTCTTTCATCCTACACATTTTTGTATTTGTGTCTCTTACCTGTCGTTTTTTCCGTTGCATCCGGTTTGAAATCACAACGATTCTAAAGAAGTTTTCACTTCAAAAAAAGAGGAAATATATTCCATTGCTGTTGTTTAATAACACGAAGGGTATTTAAATAAGAAAACTCACGTCGAGCGGACTGTGTCGCCAGAGCGCTTTCACACATCTTGTTTGGTGGCAAATACGAGCGTATTAATTATTCACGTTTGTAAACGTTCCACGCGTTCAGCTTACGTTTTTAGCTACTGTACGTGTGTCACGCTCTTTATTGTGTACTGTTCAGATAAAGCATCAAACATCGTATTTTTTATATATACATTCTACTAATATTATAAACGCGAAAGTTTGTAAGAAAATAACTCAATGGATTTTGATGAAACTTTACAATAATATAGCTGATACAATATAATAACACATAGACTATAATTTATAAAGATATAGTTTGAATTGCTCAAAATATAACGATAAGTTTACCACTGGTGGTAGGACCTCTTAGGAGTCCGCACGGGTAGGTACCACCACCCCGCCTTATATCTTAGAACTTATATCTCGAGGTGGGTGGCGCATTTACGTTGTAGATGTCTATGGGCTCCAGTAACCACTTAACACCAGGTGGGCTGTGAGCTCGTCCACCCATCTAAGCAATAAAAAAAAAAAAAAAATACACGTGTGCAATTCACAAGTGAAACCTTCCAAAATTAAAATACAATTATCCTAAACGTCTTAAGTATATGTAAAATTTTGTCATTAGTAAATAATTGTAAGGTAGCGCCCTCTGTGAATTGATATTTTAATTTCACGTATAATCCTAAATTAAAATTCACTACAAGAGCTTTCATACACACGTTAGTATTAAAAAATCTCACAGATGGCGCTGTATTAAATAGTATGTATATTTCTGTCTCATTCTTTGCTGGCTCATTCTTTCATCCTACACATTTTTGTATTTGTGTCTCTTACCTGTCGTTTTTTCCGTTGCATCCGGTTTGAAATCACAACGATTCTAAAGAAGTTTTCACTTCAAAAATTGAGGAAATATATTCCATTGCTGTTGTTTAATAACACGAAGGGTATTTAAATAAGAAAACTCACGTCGAGCGGACTGTGTCGCCAGAGCGCTTTCACACATCTTGTTTGGTGGCAAATACGAGCGTATTAATTATTCACGTTTGTAAACGTTCCACGCGTTCAGCTTACGTTTTTAGCTACTGTACGTGTGTCACGCTCTTTATTGTGTACTGTTCAGATAAAGCATCAAACATCGTATTTTTTATATATACATTCTACTAATATTATAAACGCGAAAGTTTGTAAGAAAATAACTCAATGGATTTTGATGAAACTTTACAATAATATAGCTGATACAATATAATAACACATAGACTATAATTTATAAAGATATAGTTTGAATTGCTCAAAATATAACGATAAGTTTACCACTGGTGGTAGGACCTCTTAGGAGTCCGCACGGGTAGGTACCACCACCCCGCCTTATATCTTAGAACTTATATCTCGAGGTGGGTGGCGCATTTACGTTGTAGATGTCTATGGGCTCCAGTAACCACTTAACACCAGGTGGGCTGTGAGCTCGTCCATCCATCTAAGCAATAAAAAAAAGTGTCAAGTAAGTATATTAAAAACATGCCGTCATATTCAATAATAAGTTAAATGTTCCCGAAGCAAAGCGAGGGCGGGTTGCCAGTATACAAATTTATATTATATATATATATATTCCTAATTAACTTTCTCTTTTAAATTAAGTGTTAAGTGAGTCTGATCATAACAAACAGATTAGAGTAAGATTTGATACCGCTATATTTTTTTTAGCACAAGATTATTTTTGTTGCAGGAGCCTGAAGGTCAGAAAACAAATAATGGCATACAATATAGACTGCAATTACTTTACGCTAATGGTATGTATTATACTGTTTTGGAAAATTCAAATTTGCTTTATTTTAAATTGTTATTTCTTAATATTCCTGTCAAGAACTAACTTTTCACCAGAATCATATTTTCAATTTGTATTTTTAACTCTAAGTTCTGGTCTTTGTCACCATAATTATACCACGAAGTCCATCATCCGAAACGTGTTGCACTATTCGTTGAATTGTACAAACAATAATGGCCTCTATATTTATTGCGTTAAAGCCTTCGATCCCTATCAAACGTTCTTCATCTTGTATTCAACGGACGATGACAACGTTATAGAAGCGATAGTTGCACAGTAAATATTTGCCGTCTTGCCTTCAGCGAGGATAATGGAAAATCGACACAGAGTACAAGGTCCTGATATATGAATCTCTGATAGCCACTAAACTATACGATCTGTGTGTGATTTTCTTTTTGTAGTTATATAGAGCTCTAAAAAAAGAAGATGAAACTGAATTAAAAAAAAAGTATGTTTTATTTCAGGTATTAGACAAGAACAGGATATTTTCGTCCGTCTCATCGATTCGGTAACGAAACAGGTAAGTTTCAACTGAATTTTATAATACAACATGGGCAGCTAGAAATTTCACTGTTCTATCTTAACAACGGTAGCATGTGGTCCACGTGATGATAAGTAGTGATCATCACCCATGAGCAGTGTTATTGCCAGGGATACAGTCAAGCCAGTGCATACCGCCTAGGATTTCTTTCAGACTTCAGTTGAAGATAGGTAGAGCACTTAGTAAACACCGTGGACGGGCGAGTTCATTCCAGAGCGATTGACCAAAACTATCACACCGTTTATCAAAGCTATTTATAGGAAATTGACCTCTGAGGCATTAAAAAAACCACAATAAATCTTTATTTTTAATCCTCGCTCATCAAATATACTATATTAGTACCTCCTGTTACAATCGCAAATACAAGGGAACATGGATATAGAAAGTCATCACCCATTACGGCCCTACCGAACCGTCGTCAAAGAATCCCTCCGACGACCACGTGACCAGCACGCGACAGATTGTCATCGGCGTCGTCCGATTAGGCGTAATCCCCACGCCCCTTGGTCAATGCAATTGCATTGCGTTCGGAACAATAATTATCATTATCTCTTGTTACAATTTTACTCTCACTTCACAATTGGCGGGTGTCGGTTTAAGATTTTGATCGACACTTTAGAAAGGGTTAGGCCTTTTGATAAATTGTCAGTCTTTTGATAAAGCACGAGTTGTTCAGTTGATTTGAAATAGGATCACGGATTATACTTTCAATAACAATGTATTATCCGTAATTATCTGAATTATTTGGTGAAATTTTATTTGTCGTATTCAATACATCTCTAAACATAAAATTTGTATTTTTTTTGGCACTTTCCAAAATCATCGCTGGCTTAGAAAATCTAAATAGAACAGTCTAGTGGCTTTGGATAACTGTGATTTAAACTTTCAAATTGCCAAAGCAATAATAATATCGTCAATATTTTTTAGCTATACTATTTTACATATATGTAGTTTTAATTACTGCTAGTAGGACCTTTTGTGAGTCCGCACGGGTAGGTACTACCACCCTGCCTATTTCTGCCGTGAAGAAGTAATGCATTTCGGTTTGAAGGGTGGGGTAGCCGTTGTAACTAATCTGAGACCTTAGAGATCATATTTCAAGGAGGGTGGCGGCATTTACGTTGTAGATGTCAATGGGCTCCAGTAACCATTTAACACCAGGTGGGCTGTGAGCTCGTCCATACATCTAAGCAATAAAAAAAATTCAGATGGGCAGTTCAACTTACGGCCCGTCCGATGTAGTAATTAGAAACCGTAGACATGAAGCCCAGTGACCTTGAGTTATTACTTAATTACTTACATTACATTAAAATACTAAACAGGATTAAACCTACTCCTACAAGCTTGTGTTTGCCTGCAAATGACTTCGTATCACTGGCCGAATCAACAGTCGAAACAAACTTGTCTGAATCAAAATTATCTTATACATTTAAACGAGCAATTCTTGTATACACTTATATAACTAGTCAGGTCATAAGTATTGTCACACAGTAAAAACTTTTCTTTTAGAATGCTGGCCACAAAAAAGTTTACTGAATTCGAATTTCGAATTGTTCATGAAAATAAAAATGTATACTTTTAGAATTTTTACTCATTTTTAAATATGGAGTGGACGCTTAAAGAAGACCGTGTTGCAGTTATTGCGTTGCATCGTTGCGGTTACGCGCCAATTCAAATTTTTAACATACTGAAAAATTTGAATATAACCAAAAGATTCGTTTATCGTACCATCAAACGATACAATGAAGACTCTAGTGTAGATGACAGGTCAAGAAGTGGTCGCCCTCGGTCTGTTAGGACTCCAGCAGTGATAAAAGCTGTGAAGGCGCGAATTCAAAGAAATCCCAAACGTAAGCAGAAACTGTTGGCCCTTCAGATGGGGTTAAGCAGAACCACGGTGAAAAGGGTGTTAAATGAAGACTTAGGGCTTCGGGCATATCGAAGAAAAACAGGACATCGTTTGAATGCTCGTCTAATGGACCTGAGACTGAAGAGATGCCGCGCTTTGTTGAAGCGGTACGCGGGAAAAAAATATCGGGAAATTCTTTTTTCGGATGAAAAAATTTTTACCGTAGAAGAGAGCTACAACAAACAAAATGATAAGGTGTACGCACACAGTAGTGAAGAAGCGAGCAACCGTATTCCGCGTGTCCAACGAGGTCATTTTCCACCCTCGCTCATGGTATGGTTGGGAGTTTCTTATTGGGGCTTAACAGAGGTACATTTTTGTGAGAAAGGTGTAAAAACAAATGCAGTTGTGTATCAAAATACAGTCCTGACGAACCTTGTGGAACCTGTTTCTCATACCATGTTCAATAACAGGCACTGGGTATTCTAACAAGATTCGGCGCCAGCTCATAGAGCGAAGAGCACACAAGACTGGCTGGCGGCGCGTGAAATCGACTTCATCCGGCACGAAAACTGGCCCTCCTCCAGTCCAGATTTGAATCCGTTAGATTACAAGATATGGCAACACTTGGAGGAAAAGGCGTGCTCAAAGCCTCATCCCAATTTGGAGTCACTCAAGACATTCTTGATTAAAGCAGCCGCCGATATTGACATGGTCCTCGTTCGTGCTGCGATAGACGACTGGCCGCGCCGATTGAAGGCCTGTATTCAAAATCACGGAGGTCATTTTGAATAAACTTTAGTGTCATAAGAATCTATGTTTTGTTAAGTTCATTTTGGTATATGAATGGTTACATAATGAATAAACTTGTGTCAATTATTTTACATTAAACATGTGACAGAATTTATGACCTGACTAGGTATATATATAATCTGAATCTCGGAAACAACTCCAACGATTTTCATAAAATTTAGTATACAGGGGATTGCGGGGGCGATAAATCGATCTAGCTACGATTTATTTTCAGAAGATGTTGTTTTATTCGTGTTTTCAATAATCAACTCTTCCCGACATCTATTGGCGAATAATAATTACTATTTTTCTTAAGTGAGGGCAACTAACCGCTTTAAAGACACAACAAGATGGCGTTATCAAAAAAAAAAAAAAAAAACGAGCAATGCTCGGTCATCATCTAGTGCAAATAAAAGTGTAATACAAACCTTCGAACGTTTTCGAATTGAAGAAAACTAATTACTATCAAAAGCCCTTTATAACATCTCGGTGCACCTCACATATATAATTTCAACACGTCGTACGCTGTTAGTATTGTGTAACAAGAAGCCAATTACTAAAGATTTATGCCGTGAGTATAATTAACTTAGGCCGAACGTTGTTAACCAAGAATTACTGAATTTCGTATGTATTTGCTTAGGTAAAGTAATCAAAGAACGCGTAAGACCAAAGAAATTCAGAAGTAAAAAAAGTAGCTGTTACTTTCTTGTTTTTTTTCTCTTAATTTTCATATAGTTAGGATTTGGTAATAAGATTATTTTATGATAAGAGGATTTTCGTTTGGTCCCAATCTTAATTAAAAGTAATCTTCTTGAGTTAATTTGAAAATAAATTATTTTATTGCGCAACACTGTTGAACGTGCATAGGTATTTTAAAATGAAATGAGGTGCTACTGTAACAAATTAAATCAGATGTGGAACTTCTTTTTATATAAACTATATAAACAGAATTTGTACGACAAAGTGACAAAAATATGTATTTTAATTAAATAAATATTATAAATAAAACTTTTAAACGAGCTAATACACGATGTACATGTCACAAATGTCAACACGCGAAACAGTCATTGGGTAATATAGTAATGAAAGATGGCGTCTAGGTAATAGCTACATCTGTTTAATAAAATTGCATTGAAATCTTAAGCTATGCACGTACGGTCAATGAATTACGCATTTTAAAAAACCAAATCATACTTTTTTATTTTTGTTCTAAACTACTCCTTTTCTTTTTAACGCTGGGTAATCCATTTACGAATACCCGGTCAAGGGGGCTAAAAATAAAAAAATTATAACAAATTAATTCAAAAAATTATTAATTGAATTAATTAATTTAAATTCTAAACGACTCCTGGTGTTTTAAGACCCTATGGTAATCGGAGTCTATAGTCATCATAACGTGATTGTATGTATCTACCTATTTTGAGAACGTAATTGTATTTTCTAACGGGTGTACCATTTTGAAACTGGAAATAATGGTTACGTCGCAGCAGACATAGGCAGCAAGCAGTACTTATTTACGCATTACCTCCAGTTATTACGAAAACTATAAATGAGTCGTCTATTATCAAAGGTGGCAATCTGTGCATTTGGACAAAAAAATGTTATTGATATGTCAATACAGATTGTTTTGAATATAATCGTCTCCTTCAAAGAATACGGTTCAAAACCTGCATTAAATAAAGGTTAATACTTAACCTGTTATTTATCTAAGATGTCGTTTAGAAGAGTTTTGTGACTGCCAATGGAATACAAAGTCAATAATTCGTTTTTCTGATTTACCAATAATTGTCCAAAAGTCACATTGCCGGCTTTGATAATAGTCGACTCAAATATCAGATTTCCCTTGCTTCCTCATCTCATGTGTGCAATGTAATGGAAAACTTTAAAATAGGTTTTGTTAATTCAATAATAGCCTTGAGCTAAATGATAAGTAAATATTTACTAATTTAATTATTTCAAATGTCCGAATCTTTGAGTTTTGAATTGTAAGTTTGTGATTCATGATCCGGACTAATAACAGTAATAACAATTCATCTAATTGTACGAAAACATTAGGCCGGGGCAAATTGTCAATTACCTAATGTTCGGTGCATGCAAACTAAACACGCAACTCTCTTAGAAACGGGAGAATATTGGAATCTGTCGTTTAATGATGACTATTATCGTATTTATTCGCTTAATTAAGATGCTTAAAATAAAATTGGAGTGAATTTTTGTTATTTTTATGTATGAATATACATATTTTACTGCATCAAAGGTATACGACAATATGAATGTACTAAAACACCTTCAGACTGAGGGTAAAAAACTGAAATGTATTCTAAAAAGGATGCCCCAT